TGAAGCAGGAGCCAAAACAGGCAAATCCTATGGTAAAGCCACTGGAAACAGCTTGGGTGGGCCTGAAAGTTGGGTGGGGCGGGGCCTCCGGGAATCACCAGAGCGGGGCCAACAGTATGAGCCACGTTGCTGGAATCCCAGATATGGTGGCCAACTCCCTGCCCTGTGGGGGTAGGGCTCACCAAAGGAACAATGGCCTCCACCAGAACATCTGTGCAGGAGAAAGCTGCCTCTCCGGTCCTCAACCCGATGCCAAACAACTTAGTTCTTCCCCGTATGTCCCTGGTGCCTTTCAAGCTGCCTCCCCCATGCTGGAGCCAGTCCCGATGTGGCTTCTTCATTAATTTTGTAGTTATAGGACTTTTATTCAGCTCAATTTCAGGCAGTTCTGAAGGATGGTTATTCTGTAGTTTAGTTGTAATTTTGTTTTGCTTGTGGGAGGAGGCGAGACCACATTTACCTACACTGCCATCTTGACCGGAAGTCCTCAACACTTCCAATAATGAATTCCTTGATGATCCTGTGCAAGGGCAGCTCACTGAAGAGGAAGTTGACCAGGACCACTTTAGCTCCATCCGTCAGGCCTCAGCTCTACTTCAGCAGCACTAAAATTTGCCAAAACAGTGTCCTCCTGGGAGGGTCACATAACTCACAAAGGGAGAGTCACAGATGGCATCAACTTATAGACCACCACAGATAGCTTCACTTGGAAAAGTTGACCTTTGCTGCTGCTAGCTTTCCCAACATTTCTGTAAACACAGACACAACATTCAAGGCTTTGGAGATGAGAGCCAGGTCTCTGTGAGGCAAGACTTGGGCAATGATGTGTCTCAGGGATTCCAAGTTTCTATCCATCTTGGGTCTGCTGGTGTAAGCCTAGCACAGTGTGCCACGCCTGAATTCTTGCAGTCTTGGACTGAATCTGTCCAGCTTAGTGGTACCCTGGATTACCAAAGAATCCCTTTAACACCTGCCAATTAGACACTTCCCAGAATCAAAAGACCTCTCAGGGGACCCTCCTCCCAGGCTCACTTATCTTTGTTGTCTCTACATATTATTGTTTTTCTATAATGTTGCTTGTGTGTAGACAATTTTTGGATCTATGTTAATTTAAAAAATTGACTAATAGTTTTCTTTAGAGGTTTTGGTGTCAAGATTATTCTAGTTTCTGAAAATGAATTGGAAATATTTCCACATTTTTGTTGTTTTATAATTATTTAAGTAGCATGAAAATGACTTATTCTATGAAAGCCTATGAATAATTTGAGTGAGAAAATCATATGGACATAGTTCCCTTTTTTGAAATTTTATTGAGATATAATTGACATACAATAAACTGCACATAAAGTATACAGTTTGGTAAGTTCTGACATATATATATACATTTATGATATATTTCCCTTTTGATGCTAATCCTGTACAACTTTTTTCTTATTTACAGATCTATTGACATTTTATACTTCTTGGTTCTAGACTCAATATTTTCCCATGAAGATTTTTTATTTTAATTTTCAAATTAATTAGCAGAGTTATGTAACTTCTCAACTTAAAACATAACTTTTCTGGTCACAGCTCCCTATCAGTATTAAATTTATGTGTCTCTGACTTCTCTTTTCTCTCCAGAAGAGATAAGCTGTATATTTGTCCAAATCACATTTTTTGAGAATGTTCTTTTAACTCGTCCATATTATTTTTTATGATTTATTTCTAAACTTGTCACTAGTAATTGTTTTCTTTTTCTTTTATGCTTTATTATTTTTACTTTTGTTGTTCATTGTGATTGTTTTTATTAAATCCTCAATTAATGTAATATTATTCTTTATTTGAGACCATTAATTTTCCTCTGAATGTGCTTTGGCAGCATCATATGAACATTAGTTTCCTTTTCAGCCCGAGTTACTTCAGTGAGTGTAGCAAAGCATAATTCTATGAAGCTTCAGATAAATATGACTCAGGCACTTAGACCTCTGATTTTCTGGTTTTCTTTTAAAGTAATGTAGTGTATCCAGAGGAATACACTTGTATTTCTTTCAAGCAATCACTCTTTTGTATTTCCAATTAAAAGGAGATGCGGACTTCCGGTCAAGACGGCGGGTAGGTAAACGCGGTATCCGTCCTCCCACAACCACTTAAAGTTACAACTAAACTACAGAACAACCATCATTCAAAACTGCCTGAAATCGAGCTGAATGGCAGTCCTACGACTATGGAATTACAGCAGCAGCCACATCCAGACTGGTAGGAGGGCGGAGGGGACGGGCTGGGCCCACACCCACGTGTGGCGGATAAAATCAGGAGGACACCCCGCCTGGGAAGGTCCTCCCTGAGGACTGAGGGGTCCCCATCCCACACCAGGTGCCCCGCTCAGGGTCCCAGTGCCACGAAGAGAATCCCCATCACTTCTGGCTGGAAAACCAGCGGGAACTGAGGCTCAGGGAGGCCGAGGCGGCTGGAGCCCCAGGCAGCTCCTTAAAGGGCCCGCGCACGGACTTATCGGACTCTCTCCCTCTAAGCTCGGAGGGGAGGCAGCTCGAGGGGCACCAGAGACATACGGGGAAGAACTGAGCTGTTTGGCATTGGAGAGAGGGCTGGAGAGGGGGCTTTCTCCTGAACAGACATGCTGTCAGAGGCCTTTGTTCCTTTGGTGAGCCCTTCCCTGCGGCGGCAGACAGTGGCCATATCTGGGACTCCAGCAACCTGGCTCACACTGGTAGCCCCGCCCTGGTGACTCCCTGAGGCCCCGCCCCACCCAACTTTCAGGCCCACCCAAGCTGTTGCCAGTGGCTTTACCATAGGATTGGCCTGTCTTGGATCCTGCTTCAGGTTTTCCTAAATTTTCTCAAACGAGCAGCATCTGGTCTCAGCTAGCCCCATACCTCTCATTAAGTAATACATAGAAACAAACACAGGGAGGCAGCCGAAATGAGGAGACAGAGAAACAGATCCTAAATGAAAGAACAGAACAAAACTCCAGGAAAAGAACTAGGCGAAATGGAGATAAGCAACCTAACAGATGCTGAGTTCAAAACACTGCTTATAAGGATTCTCAATGAACTTAGTGAGAACCTCAGCAAACTTAGTGAGGGTCTCAAGAGCATAAAAAAGGACCAGTCAGAAATGAAGGATGCACAGTCAGAAATGAAGCAGGCACTAACTGAAATAAAGAATAATTTACACAGTAGAGTAGGTGAAGCCAATAATTTCAATAGTAGAGTAGATGAAGCCAAGAAGCAAACCATCAATTTGGAATATAAGGAAACAAAAAATGCCCAATCAGAACAGCAAAAAGACAAAAGAATCCAAAAAAATGAGGACAGTGTAAGGAGCCTCTGGGACAACTTCAAGCATGCCAACATTTGCATCTTGGGGGTGCCAGAAGGAGAAGAAAAAGAACAAGAAATCGAAAACCTATTTAAAACAATAATGGCAGAAAACTTCCCTAACTTGGTGAAGGAAACAGACATACAAGTCCAGGAAGCACAGAGAGTCCCAAATAAAATGAACCCCAAGAGGCCCACACCAAGACACAACATCATCAAAATGCAAAAGGTTCAAGACAAAGGGAGAATCTTAAAAGCAGCAAGAGAAAAGCAGTTAGTTACCTACAAGGGAGTTCCCATAAGGCTATCAGCTGATTTCTCAAAAGAAACTTTGCAGGCCAGAAGGGAGTGGCAAGAAATATTCAGAGTGATGAAAAACAAGACCCTACAACCAAGATTACTCTATCCTGCAAAGCTGTCATTTAGAATCAATGGCCATATAAAGACTTTCCCAGACAAGGAAAAGCTAAAGGAGTTCATCACCACCGAACCATTATTATATGAAATGGTGAAGGGTCTTCTTGAAGAAAAGGATAAAAAATATGAACAAACAAAATGGCAATGAATACATATTTATTGACAATTGAATCTACAAACAAAATGAACAGGCAGAACAGAAACATTCTCATAGATACAGAGAACATTTTGTTGGTTGCCAGATGGGAGAAGAGTTGAGGGAATGGGTGGAAAAGGTGAAGGGATTAAGAAGTACAAATTGGTTGCTAGACTGACAAACATCAAAGGGAAGGAGGGGATAGGAGGTGGGAAAAGAAACCAAAGAACTTATATGTATATATACATAACAAACGGACACAGACAACAGTGTGGGGAAAGGCCAGAGGGGGGCGGTAATGGGGAGGAGGGGTGTCAATGGGGGGAAAATGAGGAACATCTGTAATACAGTCAACAATAAAGATAAGTTTTTTTAAAAAGGAGATGTAAATGCTTTGATAATTATATAAGTAATCAAGTTAAATTAAAAAAAATTTTTTTAAATGTATTCATTTGTGCTTAGGGGTCCAAAAAGTATTATCCTCTACCAGCCTACCATAGTCCTAAAATGCTAATTACTAAAGAACATTTTCTTGGATTAAGACACATACTGAGAGCTCCTGAAAATTCCCAATAGAATCAGAAACACATTAAGTGATATATATATACATATATATATATAATTAGCCTGAATTAATTTGTTACAGATTAGTAAACCAATCATTTGTCAAGGCACAGAGGAAATAAGACAAATGATGAGTACATTTTGATAACATACAGGAGAAAGGCCCTGGGCCTCTACAGAGTCCTAACCCTACAGAGGCAAGTAGAGTGAGATTAGGTAGATTATCCAAAGGGGTGGGAGTGATCCGTATGTAGACAGATTTAAATCTGCATACAGGGGATTTTAAAAGGTATGGGAGCAGGCTGCAGCCCTGTCACAACCAAGACGTCATCAATAAATCTGCCAGTCACCCAGATAGCTACCCACAACACCCAAAGAAACTACAGCAACAGTCAGTTCCTCAACTCAAACAAAATGTTCTTCCTAAGATTTTGTTCCTGAAACATTACAGCCATAGGTTTCCATCAGAAAAAGACAAAGAGAAGGAGAGAAAAGGAAACAGGACTTTGTCTTTTTTTTTTTTTCGGTTCCCAATTTTATTCAAAAACTCATAAAAAAAAGCTTTAATCCTCGTCCTCCTCCTCCTCTTCATCCTGGTTTATCTGGAAGTAACGCAATTCGTAACTCTCTTTGCTGTTGGCGACTACACGCAACCAGTCACGTAGGTTATTCTTCTTCAAATATTTTTTGGTGAGATATTTCAAGTACCTTTTGGAAAAAGGCACCTCAGACGTTACTGTGATCTTACTCTTGCTTCTTTCAATGGTTACAACCCCTCCGCCGAGATTCCCAGGTTTTCCGTTCACTTTGATTCTCTCCTGAAGAAACTGCTCGAAATTGGCAGCATCCATGATTCCATCTTCTACAGGGTGGGTGCAGTCGAGGGTAAACTTCAAAACCTGCTTCTTTTTTTTGCCCCCCTTCGCCACAAGCTTTTTCACAGGAGCCATGGCGGCAGTGGAGGCAGAAAGGGAGGACTTTGTCTTTTTGTCTGCATCGGATGCCACGTGATAGGATGAAAAGGAGAAAAGGTCTTGTGACAAGCCACAATCCAATAGCCTTTTTTTTTTTTTTTTTTTTTTTTTGCTCTCATCAGAGCAAAGTTTCTGTGTCCAAGTTTTTTAAAGCAATACTTAACAGGCCAGGGCCCTAGTCGGATAGCAAAGCTGGTTAGAGTGTCGTCTTGATAGGCCAAGGTTTCAGGTTCGATTTTCAGTCAGGGCACATACAAGAAGCAACCAATGAATGCATCAGTAAGTGGAACAAGTCTCTCTGTCTCTGTCTCTGTCTGTCTCTCTCTCTCTCTCCCCCCCCCCCTTCCTATAAATACCAATAAACAAAATTTTTTTAAAAAACTTAACATGCTCCAGTGAAAGTTAATCTGCATTTCACATAATAATTTAAATAAATAAGTAAGTGAATAAGAGCTATCTGAATCTTGGCAACTTTTTTTTTTTTAAACAGAGTGCTATTTATTGTAGCCATAGCTTATCTTTAAATTCTCTCCCTTCTTCGATGTTTATTTTGAATTAAGATGAGTAATTCCATATTGGGAGAAGCAGAATTTTAGTTTTCCCAAGGTTTTTTGCCAAGTCTCCAAATTTTTGGATTGTGATTTAGGGGCAAGAAAAATCCCAATTCCTAGTAAAGTGCCCTGACATAGTTTAACACTGACCAAAATGTCAAAGCCCAGTTTTTTGAAACTTTGCCCAAAAGCCTGCACAGAACAAATAACTGCCTTAATTTTATTTTTTATTTTTTTGGTTTAAAACATTATGATAGAAATGGCTACTTAGCTCTGAGTTCAGAAGGTATAAACCAATTTGGGTAAAGATGATAATGTTTAGTACAAGTTTTCTCAAAACACTGTCACAATTCTATAATCAGTCATTTAAAACTACCCTCATTAGGGCGAATTCGCCCTTCCTCTACTTCACATGTTTGTTTTATTTAATCTCATTTGTACAGTTAAATTTAACAAGGAGCCCTGAGTGTAGCTCATTTTGTCAAAATTACTTAAAATATTTATTCTGAAGTTCTTGTAAACCATTCATACACATGTGCATGCACATACATGCATAGACTTACACACATATACACACCCAAACCTTGGATAATGTTCTATCCAATCAGTGCTGACTTATGGAAAAAATAAATAAAACTATAAACAAACAAAATTGTAGCTAGCCATCTGGCATACCAGGCCCTCAGAGAGATTATTTATAGTGTTATAATTTGCATTCCAACAATCATTTATTGAGAGCTGTACTATATAACCAAAGCCCTCTACTCTACTTGGTACTAACAAAGATACAAAAGTTTATACTATATGATCCCTGCACTCAGTCAGCTCACTTACAGTTTTTTTTAAACAATTGCATTGAAAAGGAAGAATGCAAGTAAATATGTTGTAAAGATAAATGAAGTAGGTATGAAATAGAACAAAGACTTAGCACAAAGTACTGATATAAACAGAAAACTGGGAGTTGGGAAGACAGTTGTGCCAATAATTTGCTAGAGGTCCTTAACTAACTGGTCTAACCATTCCATGGCCTGGTTTCTTTATCAACAAAATGTGAAAATTAACATGTACCTTATAGAACAATTGTGATCATGTCAATAACATACTCAGAACACAAGTAGCTCTCAGCATGTTCTAATTAGTAGCATGTTAGCAATGGGCTGAAAGACTGCACAGGAAAAGGGAATGTCAATAATCAATGGATTTATTTGCTCCTTGAGTAGCTAACAAAATAGGAAGGAATCAAGAATTCTTTTTCTCTCCCATCATATTAATGTTGTGGAACTAACCTGGCACAAAGGTTTAAGCAAAAACTGAAGTTTTGGATAATGACAGAAGCACAGCAATTGCATGGGTGGACGACTTTAACTTCTCTGAATACATTCCTATCCATTTTTATCATTTTCCAGATGACAGCTCTATTTGGTTCAAAATACTCAACTGTATGAAGATGTGCAAGATTTGACTTCAGAGCATTTCATAGACTTAGAAATAGACTTAGCATTTCTAGTTGACAAGTTCATGCAAAGATATGAAAAAAAAATGAGAATGTTTAAGCACGTTTTGATTAAGCCTGGGAAAAATAAGAATCAGAGGCACATAATGAATGTCTTCAAATATTTGAAGAGCTTTCATGTGGAAAATAACATAAGATTATTTTGCTGTAAATAGAACTTGGATCAATGGACTAATCCACAGAAATGTGGGTTTGAATATAAAAATTCTCTAACACTTAGAATAGGTTCTTCTCTTTTATTAGAAGTTGTGAGGCAGAAGCAGGTTAAGCTATACCCATACAAGATGTGTTATCAAGGGATTCCTGAGTTTGTGGGCAGAACTAGACAAAATACCCTCCAATACCCTGTACTAGACAATATCCTCAATGTCTTCCCCAATGCTACATTGTCAAAACATTAATGTCTACTTTATAGAAGAAAAATGTGACAGTCAATTGATGATCTAGGTCATACAGATTTGCAGATAAGAAAGCAAAGATTAAAAACAGGTCTAATGTATCAGTCCAGTGTGCTGACATTGTTTAGCAGTCCTTATGTCTTCTCTCTAATGAAAATTATCACCCTCCTCACATCCAGAGGAATCATAAGGGTTTTCAGGACTAGCTAATTCCATCTACTTAAAAACAAGCCCTAGAGGGTCTATGGTTATTACTCTTATCTGTTAGCATCATGACAGTAGAAAACAAATCTAAATTAGGAATTAAGACCTAGTTTTGTTACTGTTAGCGTGGTAATTAGCCTTCTTCCCCCGGAAGTGAGCTCCCCACTGTGCATTGCATTGTGACCAGAAATCAAGTGGAAGCCACAGTCTTATTAGCCAGAGCATGGCAGCATAGAAGAGTTCAGAAATGCCGGGGAGACGAAATCGAGAAGGGACATGTCAGAAAAGAGCAAGCCACAATGAGAGGGCATAAAATCAGCATAGAAACTCCCCTTAAATCCTGGATATTTCAGAATAAAAGATCAACCAATCAGGAAAACTTAATCATAAGGGTGCATGCACTTAATAATAGAGTTTCATACTACACAAAGCAAAAACTGACAGAACTAAAGAAAGAAATGAACAAAGTTAGAAATGTTGACACTCCTGTCAGGAATTGATTGAACAACTTGACAAAGTTTCGGTAAGGATATAGAAGATGTGAACAACCCTATCAGCTAAGGGATATTTAATGAACACTACACATCCAACTGAAGAATGTACACTTTTTTTTATTGTACTTGGAAAGTTTTACAGAATAGGCCATATTCTGGGCTGTAAAATGAGATTCAATAAATTTCAAAAGACTAAAACTTACAGAGTTTGTTTTCTGACAACAATAGAATTAAATTAGAAAGCAAAAATACTTGAAAATTAAATAATCTACAGGGGTCAAAGGAGAAATAACAACGGAAATTTTGAAAATATTTGAAAGGATATTAAAATAAAAAGACAGCACATGAAAATATGTGAATCCAGCTAGCGGATTAGAGAAAAATTTATAGGTTAAAATGTTTACATTTACAAATATATATATTTAAAATCAATTATCTAACCTTCTATCTAAAGAAACCAGAAGAAAAGAGCAGATTAAATCCAAGTTAAATTAAAGAAAAAGGATTAACAAAGATTAAGAGTAATAAAATGAAAAAATATAAAATTAATATTAATGAAAACTTTAAAAGTCAAAATTGGCTTCCTAGAAATACTAACAAAATGGAAAAATCTTTAGAAAGAGTGATCAAGGAACAAAGATGGAAAACACAATTAATAATATCAGAAATTAAAGAAATTATAGCACTACATATTTTGTATACCAACACATGATAGAAAAGAAAATAATAAAGTTATGCCAATAAATCCAACAATTTAGCTTAGCTGGGAAAAAAAGATTCTTAAAATACTCTACTTGCTAAAACACACACATGAAGAAATAGAAAATCCAAATATCCATATATCTATAACAGGTACTGAATTTATTATTTAAAAATATTCCCACAAAGAAAATTACAGCCCTAGATGGTTTCATTAATAAATTTTATCAAATATTTAAAGAAGATATGGCATCAATCCCCAAAAAATTGTTTTAGAAAACAGAGGTGAATTAGTGTAATATTTTATTAAAACCAGACATTATTACAAAAATAAAAACTGTAGAACAATATCCATCATGAACATAGAAACAAAAATCCTTAACAAAATATTATCAAATAACATTAAGTAATATATAAAAATAATAATCATCATTACCAAATGGGGTTTATTCTAGAAATGTAAGATTGGTTTAATATTTTAAGAGAAATATCATTCAACATGTTAACAGACTACAAGATAGATAGACTTCTCAATAGAAAAAGGGAGAGCATTTGAGAAAATTTACTTCCTATTCATGATTAAAAAGAAATTCATCAAACTAAGAATAGAAGGAAACTTTATCAATCTGATGAAGGGCATATATGAAATTCCCACAGCTCATATCATATTTAATGGTAATCTATTGAATGCTTCTCTTCTAAGATCAAGTATAAGACAAAAATGTCAACATTGTAACATCTTACCATTTCATTCAACATTGCACTAGGGATCATCCTAGTCAGTTCAATAATGTAACAAAAAGAGTGAGAAAGAAGAAGTAAAACTATCATTATTTATAATCAATGTGATTTTTTTACATAGAAAATCTTAAAGAACCTACCAAAGAAACAAAACCTATTTGAACTAGTAAGTAAATTTAGGAAGGCTGCAGGACTTAAATCAATAGGCAAAAATTAATCATATTCTTATAGCAGCGAACAAATAAAAATAAAAATATTTTTCAACTTCATTTATAGTAACATCAAACAACACAAAATACTTAGAAATCAAGTCCTCTACACTCTTCAATAAATGCTTAGAAATTAGTAAGATAGAGAAGTCCCCTGTACTCTTTGCTGTAAA